AGGTTGAGTATTTGAAAGTTCTGCAAAATGTCTCAGCTCATACAATCACTGAAGCCTGTGTATGACAAGAAAAGTGAAAATGGTTGATATTATTATCATTATAGGTATTGATATTTTTTATTTACAAAATCAGATTTATCTGGTGGCAATTCTATTAAGATACATTCTTTTTATGAGGTGTATCTTGGTGAGACAACATCCTGGACAGTGTGAATAGCTACGTGCGGGTTCAAATTGTTTTATTTTGTTTTTGGTTATAAATGGACAAACTATTGCCGAAGTGCCGGATCAGTTTTTGTCTCACCCGCACGTCGATTCAGTAGGTATTAATGACATTGATCAACTGCGAGTTGATAATTATAAATAAAAACAACAACAACAAAACAACAAAACAAGAAGAAATAAACCTTGTTCGTTTCGAAAATGAAAATCGTTGCTGTTTGGCTGTGATGGAATTAATAGATAGTCTTCTGACGAATTGCCTTCGAGTAGCATAACATGCTATATTGTTAGTTTTAGTTTCAATTTTGATAGCTTAGGTATTTCAACCGATTTCACCTAGTTGTTAAATGCGTTAGCCCGTTAGATAGACCGAATTGCTTAATCCAACCTGCAAATTGGACACACTTGCCCATACCTATTAGAGGTAATAACAATTTTGAAGTTAAGAGGGGGAGGGGGAGGGGCTACACCTGAAGGCTATCTCGCTTATTAGTTGACCAAATTTTACTAAATTTCACACATACCACGAGCATAGTAAGGAGTCTGAAAATCTAAAATAAAATTTGAGAAAAAAGTTTAGTTTCCATGGAAACGACCGCCATATTGGATTTTGTTGATATGTCTTACGTGAAGAATACCGCACTTGTTGATTATGGGAATTTACTTTTTTTTTTCTTTTTTTTTTGCAAGCATGTCAGTAAACATTAAGTCTAAAAAATTGTCTTTTGATTTTCTCCTAAATGAATAAGACAATTTTTACTGAATTTTTTTTCTTGAGGTAGTATTCGAGTTTGAAAAAAATCTTCGAAAATCCACACTCCAGACAGAACCAACAAAAATCTATTCCATATATAAAAAATTCAGAAGACAAATTTTTAGTATTAAATCTTTTCTTCATTCTGTGAAAAATCTCACGAAGATTGGATGAAAAATGGTGGAGTTATTAAAAAAAGTATAGAGAAAACTCACGTTTTGAAAAAAAAAACGGCCTATAAAGAAAAATAAAATGAGGAAATGGTGGTGACAAACATCCCCAGTATGGGAAGAAACAAGGCTTTTGGGGGTTCTAACGTTATGAAATAGATGTAGCAGAGGCTGAGGGAGCTAAAAATGTTTATAACTCAAATTCCATAATTTGAGCCGTATCGGGACTTTGGGGAAGAGAATTCACTGTTTTAGGACCCACATGAACAAGCAAGGGAAAGAAAATATTTTGGAAAGGATGGCACAGCCTTAATTACATTAATATCGGGTGCCCAATAAAAAGAGGAGCCATTTAAAGGAAAAGCACTCTGTCGTTTTTCTACCAATTTCAACAAAACTTCGAAGAAATCAAATTCAGCCATGCATACACTACATTTAAACACTAGCATACTGACAAGAACTTTCGCTGTCTATGTCTATGTATACATATGTGTGTATGTGTATGCCATTTAAGTGTGAGTATCAGCTGTATTTTATATATATTTTT